TGATGATGATGATGATGATGATGATTACTTTATTATTATTATTATCCTTATTATCATTATTTGTTATTATCAAAACTCACTGTTTCTGAGAAACAGACAATTGAATATGGTATATCACTTATTTTGGAGACAAAACATCCTCCGAAATTAACGTCCACCTCCGATAGGACTTTATCAGGAAGGTGAACAGCCCAAACAACTTTACACAGGGCGCAATTTCAAAAACGCTCCACTGGGAAGTGGCTCAAGGCTCAAGTTTTCTGCTTGATATTAGCATATCTATAGCTCAGAATTACAAAGTTCTATCTGCTCAATACCTAGTTTTTGAGAAATTTGACGTCAAAATTTTGAGATTCAAAATAATAATGTCAAGCTTTTTCGAACGCAATTCTTCGAACATCTTGATAACGATTTTAATAGAGCAGAGAGATCATTAATTTGTTTATAATTTCATGGTCTTGGTAACTCAAAACGGCCAAAAATGTCTGATAGGACTTTATAGTAACTCTGAGGTATCGACAAGGCTCTTAAATAACACACCTATCTATTCTTGTCAGTGAGACCCTTAAAAGGAACCACATATGACGTCATCAGCTATTATCTGTCCGCTTCTTTCCACAGGCCGAACCACAAGCCCTTCATGCCGCAAGTCACATACCCTAACTACACGATCACCGTGAGCTCTCCCAGCGGCAAGATTTACCGGCCGGGCCAGATCGTCACAGGTAAGGGTCATAAAAGTTATGTGGAGCGGGCTACACACGTCATGCACGTCAGACAACACCCGTTATACACGTCAGACAGCATACGTTACATACGTCAGACAGGGACTTCCCAGTTTGACACAGGCCCAGTTTATCACTATTTCATTTAAGTATTTGGGTATTGATGACAGTCATAATTACAGCACTTTGACACTGTAGTTGTAACTTAAGTTTTTTATTCTCCACCTTCAAATTGGTTGGGGTAGAGATAGTCCCTCTAAAATGTCAATTCAGCTTGTGTTGTTCAATATTTCTTCCCGTTTGTATGCAAATCAAAGCAAGTTACTCTGTAAAATTTCAACAATGAATGTTCTTTCGTAGAAAACAATTGAAACATAAAATTCAATTCATACAATCAATTAACCAACCATTCATTTACTCTTTTTGAGAGTGTCAGTGATAACTTCCTTCCATCATGCAGGGCGAGTCGAGGCCTGTGACAAACTGGCATGCTTCCCGTCAGACAACACACGTTATACACGTCACACAACACATGTTATACACGTCAGACAACACATGTTAGAAAAAAACAAGTTATACACGTCAGAAAATACAAGTTATACACGTCAGACAACACACGTTATACACGTTAGACTACACACGTTATACACGTTAGACTACACACATTATACACGTTAGACAACACACATGGGCGTTGGGAGGTGTTGGGGGTGTTAGGGTGTGTTGGAGGTGTTGGGGTTGTTGGGACTATTGAGGGTGTTGAGGGTGTTGGGGAATATTGGGATGTTGGGGTGTGTGGGGGTATTGGGAGTATAGGCGGTGGGGGGTGTTGCGACTGTTGAGGGTGTATTGGGTGTGTGGGGGTGTTGGAGGGGTTAGGGGGTGTTGGGGTGTGTTGGGGTATTGGGAGTAAGGGGGGAAGGTGGGGGGGGGTGTTGGGATGTTGACGTGCTGGGGTGTGTTGAGGTGTGTTGGGGAACTGGGGGTATAGCATACGGAGGGGTGTTAGGCGGTGTTGGGGTTGTTGGGGATGTTCGGGTGTGTTGAGGATGTTGTGGGGTTGGGGATAAATATTTGTAATAAAAACAGTCGAAAAACATTGTTTTATTCCCTTTTTGCTTCCCATCACGTACTTAAAGTGACCATTGAGAGCGTGAACGGTGCGAAGCCTTTCAAAGGATTTTTCCTGCACGGAGACAGCACCGAGGCCTCGTTCGCCGGAGAGCTCTCCTGTGACAAAGGTAAAAGATTTAATGTTGAATGGGGCGTTAAACCAATACTATTTCACTATTTTTCAACAAAGGTAAGCGATTTAATGTTGAAAGGGGCATTAAACCAATACCATTTCACCAATTTTTCACCAAAGGTAAGTGATGGGACCATAGACAGGCCTCCGTGCTCGTAGCTGCTGCAGCGATGACAGGCGCAGCAGCAACAGAAAAACAGCAACAACAGCAGCAGTAGCTGCAACAACATCAATAACAGCAGCAGCAACAGCATTATCAGTAGCTGTATCAGCAGCAGCAGTATCAGTAGCAGCATCAGCAGCAGCAGTATCGGCAGTATCAGCAGCATTATCAGCAATATATGCAGCAGTATCAGCAGCAGTATCAGCAGGAGTTTCAGCAGCAATAGACTGTCAGACTTATAACCGAAAGGTCATGCATGGATCTGAACCTCGTCAGACCCGGGTCCGACTTTTCTTGGGTAGGGCGGAGAGGGGTGAGGAGGGGAGGTATTTTCTCTAAGGAAATAGATCTGGCTTAAAACGATCTGATTGAGATTGAATCCGGTTGGCAGTGCGCACCACATGGTTTATCATTAATTTTGCGTCTCAGACGTTGGTGAGAAGGAAACAAGGCGGGGATGGTACTCAAAAGCAGGATATAATATCTCTCATAAGATTATTAT